AAACATTGGTGTAATTTTATCTGAGCAGCAGCATTTCCTAGAAGAGTTCAATGGCAATAATGACTTTCTGTGTAGCATCTACACAAAAAAAACCCCGACTTCATAACATGGGTCCTTTATATCCTGTAATTGAAGGATGCCATGTCCATCCATGTCCAAACGTTTTATGCAGCAAGAGGTAGAAGAAGTGTTTAAAAGTGCAACTGTGTTCTATTTATTTTACATTTTAATTAGAAAAAAAGTTGTTTACTTGTTAGCTTCAATATCCAAAATAATTTCTTTTTTTATTAATGCTGTTTCCTAACAGGTACGAAACAAAGTATATAGTCGAATATTGTCCCTGTGTTCTCCAAATATTTCTGGGACCAGATCTCCACAGGAACTTTTTAAAGCTTCAGGTTTGATGCAGGTACGAGACTTCAACATAAATGGTCTAGACCATTCCTCTGCTTCTTGAAGGAGTCCTGAAAGGTCCTGGACTACTGATTTAACCTTTTTTTCACCAGTGTTTACATGTCAACTGCCAACTTCTGTAACCTCAGTCTGGCCCCTGGACTTTCATATATATGTTTTTAGAATTGCTGTGTTTTGTGTTTAGAGTCAGTGAGGTAGAGGGTCAGGCTCTATTGATGTGATTATGACATGTCCCAACAAGACTGGAAAACATGTAGCAGACTTGCTTCTGTTTCTAGTCCATAATCTTGAGTGCACATTTTAGAACTTCTTTCACTGTATGTGCAAATAATATTCCCTCCTACCTTTTCTTTATGGGACTTTCACCAAAACCCATGTGAAGATTAAGCAGGAAATATGCTCTTAAGGGAATTAGTAATAATAGTATAAAAGGAAGATGTCAAAATGTCTGTATTACCCTAAACATGGATAAATTTTTAAATGCAGTAAAAGTATTTTTATCTTCTATCTCTTTATGCCACAATTATTTTTTTGTCTGAGGGAGGAAGTTTTACAAATGACTTTTAAAATATCGGAAAGACTTTGTATTATGTAGCCATCATGTTGTATATTTACTGGAGAAAGTATCATCTGTAATGTGTCCATCACACTACAGACAAATATTGACCCCTTCTGAACACAGCTCTCTCTGTTCTTCAGTTTAAAATATAACAGTGGAGCAAAGGCACAAGGACAATGTTAGTTTCTGAATTCCTGTACTGTTAACAAATGGGAGAACATTTATAAGTGTTGATGTTAGAACTCTAATGGAATTCAAAGTTCTATTCCCCTTTTTCTCAGTACCTGTTTACCTGCCTTCTTTTTGTTTCCTTAATTTCTGGTTTTCTTCTTCTTTTTTATTCTGAGGCTGCTAGTTGTCTGCTGTTCTGTATTTGAAACAGTACTGGCATCAATCAGGGACGTGATTTCAATGAAATATAGGTAGCACAGTCACTGAATCAAGGGGAAAATAAACTTTATTAGGAGAAATTAAATTTGGACTTTCACACCATTCTTATAGTCTTGTGCATTTCACTTGCCCATACTATCCTCTGGCAGATAAATACTGGCAAGACATAATTTGCAATGGTGGTATCTTTGATATAGTGACTTCTGTTGTATCTTTTTTTTCTCTTCAGAAATGGGTGAATAGAGAAATATCCAACTTTGACTACCTTATTCAGCTGAACACAATGGCAGGACGGACATACAATGACCTTGCTCAATATCCTGTGGTAATTAAAAAAATCTTTAATATTTTGCCGAAGGTATGTATTTCTTTCTATTTTGAAAGATGGACTTTTAATCTCAGTTTGATCTTTGACTCTTATTTTTTTTAGTTCCCCTGGATTTTACAAGATTATACTTCAGAAGAACTGGACCTGAACAATCCTGCGGTCTTTAGGGATCTGTCCAAACCCATAGGGGTGGTAAATGAAAAGAATGCTAAGGCTGTGAAAGAGAAGTATGTATTTGAACACTGTTATATTTCTCTGTCTTTTCTGAGCCTCCAGGATAATAACACTATTAAAAAAATGAAGTTGTGACAGTGACATTTTTAAGAGCTACTATTATAACATCACAGGTGCATTTGCAGAGGCATCTGCTGAGTCCAGATTAGTTAGCTTATATGATACTGAGAGGACAAAACTTACTATTGTAAATTTTCAGTTGTTTCTCAGATGTGGAGATTAAAAAATGAAAGGCTGTAAAAATGTTTAATTTAATGGCCCAGCATCTTGAAGAGACGTGCTGTGTCCCATGTCTGCTTCAAGATAAGGAATGTGAAATCATACGGATGAGCTGAGCTGCCTGTGCTGAGAGGTAGCATTGATCCTAAATCTGTGCTTCCTGCTCTTTTTTTCAAGCATAGATTATCATCTTTGAAATAAAATATAACTCGGTGTCTTCCAGCAACTGCTCTGTAGGTAGGAATGACAAGTACTTTACACCCACACAACAGTGCACCTATCCTTCCTTTTTAGCTAATGTGGGGAGTAGGGGTAGTATCATACCAGATTGCACCTGTCAGGCACCTTCCAAAACCAGCTTTCTTCTGAAAACTTGAAACATGGAGAATTTCCTTTGAATGATTAGGCTTTATCCCTGACTATAATGAATTGGTTCTCTAGCAGTGTGTTTAGCTATAATTTTTCTTACTAGCCTTGTGACACTGAAGAATGTATCGGCCAGATGGTGGCATAGTACTGTAGAGTGAGTTTGCCAGTAGAAAAGGAAATGGGCATGAGTGTTAAATAAAATCTCTTTTCTGCATCCTGACACAGTCACACACGTGCTCTTTTTTTTTTTTCTTAAATCTTCCAGGAAACTGTCACAAGTCCTTTGAATAATAAATATTCAGCTTAGTGATGTGGGGTTTTTGGTCTGTTGTATAAAGTCATGCTAAATCAGTCCTGTCTTGCCCTTTATCCAGTTTCTGACAGCTGATAGCAAATGCCTAGGGAAGAGTATAAGAACAGGTATGCAAGGGCTTCATCCAGTGTACATTTCTATCTTTCAGCAGTATTTTGCTTAGGGGCTTTCTACATCAGAACTGGAATCCTCATGTTTAATAGAAATCAATGTATTTTTCTCTTATAGATTGCTGTGATTTGTTTCTTTTGAATCCTTGTCTCCAATAAGCATAATCCACATGTAAATTAAGCTGTAGCACTCAGTTGTATTTATAAAGATTTATATTTTTTTAGGTATGAGAATTTTGAGGATCCCCTTGGGATCATTGACAAGTTTCACTATGGGACACATTACTCAAATGCTGCTGGTGTCATGCATTACCTCATTCGCGTAGAACCTTTCACAACCCTTCATATCCAACTTCAAAGTGGCAGGTATGCTGTGAACAAATAAGCACCACCTTTCTTTTTCTTCCTTATAGTTTTACTGAGGGAATGATCAAAGTCTAACCTGAGTTTTCTGATCCACAGATTTGACTGTGCTGACAGGCAATTCCACTCAATTTCTGCTACCTGGCAGGCACTCATGGACAACCCTAATGATGTCAAGGAACTTATTCCAGAGTTCTTCTACTTCCCAGAGTTCCTGGAGAATCAAAATGGTAAGCTGACTCCTCAGAATATTCTCATAGAAAACTGTTCTTGTATTCTTCAGAAAAGAATTGTTACAACCATTTGTGAATGCTGTGGAACAATTCTTATTTAAGCATTATAATGTGCTTGTAGAAATTACTTTAATCATCATGCTGGCTTCAAACTGCTTAATGAAGACACCAGTTGTGTTAAGCAGCAGCCTAAAAGTTGTTAAAAATTCAGATTAGCGGCTTAAGGATGGCTAAAAATAGTGTTGTTTACCTAGGGTAAAATATCCAAGACGCTCACTTGGATGTCTGAAAAAGTTAGCAATAATTAATACTGATTAAATACTTAGCAGAAGTTAATACAGATTAATTTGTATTCTTTTTACTGATTTCATTAGGTGATAGAGTTTGGACATCTTCAAATATGTGAAACCTTTTATGTGTTCTAGGCAACCAGCTTGTTTTCTGCTTGTTACTGTTACCTTCCAATTCAATGTTGAGTTGCCTCGTTTTAGAGCCATGTAAGGTTTCAGTACCCATCAGAAGAAGGAAAAAAATGAAAGCTGTTTCACTCATATATAATGCTGATTGAAAAGACAGCATCCTGCATTCTGAGACTCATAGCCATTTTTTAATTCACATTTATTTATTGCATAGGGAATTGTTTCTCTACCTATTACACAATTTAAAAATGGATTTGTATGTTTGTGCTGCCTAATTTAGTCTGCTAGCTACAATCTACTAGAGTTTAGTAGAAATCGGAAATACCAAAGTCATGCCTTCAAAAGTCATGCTTTCAAAAGTCATTTAAGTATTTAGAGTTGTTCTAATGAAAGCTGATGGGTTTTAAGACTTCTTGAAAACCCTAATGTTACAACCATTTAAACTTATAAGTAACTTCATTTATATGAATAACCTCATTGAAATGTTTTGGACTCTTAATCTTGGTAAAACAAAGCAAATGCAGATATGTTTACGGATAGGTGTGTAAATGATTAATGCTGCTTCTAAGGTTGGGACTTCAGCTTTGAAATAGTTTAGGTGCTTTGGACAATTGTTATCCTGTATCATTTAACATTTTAAAAATTCAGAATGGAACGTAGCCTGCTATGCCAGTGGTAGGGTTATTGGAGATTTACATTGAGTTTCTCAATGTTCTTCCCTTACACTGAGAAAATAATGCTTTTTAATCTTTACTGAGAAATCAAGATATTTGAAATATTTTGTAGTAATTCTTAAATTTCTCCAAATTTTTCACTAGGTTTTAACTTAGGTCAGCTTCAAATATCAAAAGAGGTGGTAAATGATGTTGTTCTCCCCAAATGGGCCCACTCACCAGAAGACTTCATTTATAAACACAGGAAGGCTCTGGTAAGGTGATGTTTATATGTGTGAAGTAATGATAAAGAAAGTACAATTACACATTGTCACTGTGGCTTAAGTGTAAAATACTCACTGCATTTGAAATAGAGTTGTGGTTTCATTTGACATTACAAGTACCGTTAGAACTTTCAGTTAAGAGCACTGTGCATGTCAATAAAATGCTCAAAAGAAAAAAGGGAAGAGCCTGAAGATCCTAATCATTAGGGAGTTTGCTGCCCTAGGAGATAAAATGCAGAATTAGGTGGTTGTAGGTGATAAGGCTTCCCTTGCTTTTTAAAGATTATTCTGTATGATACTAGGGAACTAGCAGCTTACCTTCCCTTGCATAGTTGCATTTCAATAGTCTAGATGTCCTGCTTCACTGTATTGATTTTTTTTCCCTCTTACCTGGTAGTTACTGATTTTAACACACATGAACCCAGCATGGGTTCATGAAAGGAAGGTC